TATATATATATATATATATATATATATATAAATTATTTTAAATTCTGACAGACATTCATGTTATGAATTGCCTAGACTTTGTATTTATGTCAAATGTTTATAATTTTTGATTTTCTTTAACACTTGTTATCTCTATTCTTATAAACTAATGTACAGTTATTTCCTTTCTTGAGTTTCAAATGCTACTAATACGACAAAGAAATATATGATGCAGACTTTATACATACACTATGAAAATTTGTACTGAGGCTACTGTTTTACAATTAAATCGCAAAAAAGAAACTTATACCGTAAACAAACGTGTTTAATACTTAGAGCAGTTTGGGTTAAGACTCTTATTTTGGTAAAAATGTACGTTATAAATGACTGTGCATGAATGTTACTCGGGCGATTTAAAGCTATATTTATCACACTGTTGAGTGATTCCTTTCTATAAAAATACATATGCAAAATGTATCATTGTAATACGTGATAAAAACCTATTATTTTTAATCACTTAGTCTTTCTAAAAGGCTTGTGTATTTTACAGAGCTACTATTTAACTTTAGAAGATTATTTATGTTAGGTAACATCTAGAAGACATACAGAAGGTTGAGTTTCGGAAAAGAATGGTAGAATGTCAGTGAAAATAGTTAATTATCGATATTTGAATACAGGAATATAATATACATATTCTTTATAAACTTGTTTTATAAGTCTCTTTGTATCTTATATATTAGAACAATTTTCCTCATACAAAATATCCCTTTCTTAGGCCTTAACTACAAAATATTCCATTTTCTGCGACATTCAATTAAACTAGCGTTTCAGCCACATTTCTATAATGGGACGTACATGAAATCAGTATTGTTTTACCAAAGTTTATCTAAATAATTAAAGTCTCAAGAGAAATTAAAATTTTTGCTATATATGTAAAGTAATCATTTTATTAGTAATGAATAACATACACAGAAGGGTTTGAATACTTTGTATAACGTTATCACTTAATATGTAGCAAACATTACATGATAGAGTAAATACGTCATTGAAATAAAATTACATTTGAACAGTGATGGGTAAAATAATATTAAAAGTAAAAAACAGATGTGGAGTACATTATATTCCGTAATTAAAATCGGTATTATATTAATATATGTATTGAATTAATAAGAAAGAAAACAATGGGTTAAAAAAAGAAATATAAAAATGGTGTGAAGAAGTTACTCATTCCTAACTGTCGTAAGCTTTACCTTGGTGGTTGTATGTTTTATAATTCCTTTATAGTTGTACCTATTATAATGCAGTGCATTGCCTACATTCCAATATATATGCAAGTAATAAAACTTAATTTACTATGGCACTTTACTTAAAAACCAAAATGAGACATTAACATCATGATTAGTTTGGACTGAAACTTCACAGCAATTTTATTT